TTTTATCTTTCTCAGCATAAAATACTTGAACTGAGAACAGAAGTCACATTCATTTAAACCTGCTTCTTCTTATTGTAAAGATGAAAAGGAATAACTGACATCTTTCCTCTTAAAGTGATGAGAATAGGGAAAGAAAAGATACTCAGCTAGTTTCAGAGGAGGAAGGTGAGTTTCACAGTCACAATGTTCGTGTTGTATAGGAATTAAAACAAATGGGTTCTAAATTGACTCCTGATTTTCCCGTAAGCTAGAGGTGCTGATGTTTGCAGGCTACTGAGCCTCAGGAGTGGAGAGAAGAGCCTGTGGATGCCTCTCATAGACTCAGATGTGTGGTGTCCACTTATGCTTAGTCAAGTCACAAAGTGTCTAATGTGTGAATTACATCATCAGCTTCTAAAATAGGAATTTTAATACTAGAAATATTTTTACACACAATGGACAATGCACAAAATGTCTTATTTAATTTGTATGGCAATTCTTAGAAGTAGTTATTATTGTTTTTTACAGGTTAAAACATAAGCTCAGAGAACCTCTCTGATAGATCAGATGGTACCCTGTGTTAGAGCTGGCACTGAAACAAAATGTACTTGACTCGTGATTTGGTGCTGTTTCTGCCACTTTTGTGTTAATGGTTCCCTTCTTTAAAAGGGGGCAATTATCTGACAATCAACTTTGATTTTTAAAAAATTATATTCTAGACCCGTGCTGTCCAATATTATAGCCACTTAGCCATGTGTGGTCACCGAGCATTTGCAATGTAGTATGATATGAGGTGTAGTGTAAATATAAATACATTATTAATTTCAAAAATTTGTACAAAAAAAGCAAGATGCTTCATAAGGAGTTTTGCATCATTATATGTTAAAATATGTTTTTGTATATACCAAATTAAATACAGTATTAAATTGATTTCAGCTACTTTTTTGTGTGTTTGCTTTTAAAAAATGGGCTTCTAGGACATTATAATTACTCATGTGACTGTATTATCTTTCCTTTTCTGAAACTTCTTTTTTCTTTTTAGTTTTTTGGCAATGTGGTATGTGGGATCTTTGTTCCCCGACCAGGGTTCACACCTGCACCCCTTAACACTGGAAGGGTGGTGTCTTAACCACTAGACCACCAGGAAACACCCTGCATTATCTTTCTATTGAACAATGCTGATCTAGATTTCACTTTTAAAAAATACTTTCAATTCTCATAGTTTTAATAGTAGTATGTAGTACAGGGAAATGTTTAAAAACATAATTTTAAATTGCTAAATTGCTTTTGAATTCCAAAATGCACCTAAGGTCTGAATGAGCACAAATATTCTCAGTTATTTGCACTGTTAGCCCCCAACATTTGATTTTATAGTCAGAATGAAAAACCTACAAGTGACTGGAAGACTTGGTCTGTGGGTGCCTTTTCCTTGGTTCCTCATTTCCCCCACATAGGGGGGATACAATCTAGGAACAAAGGACTCAAATGCAAAATATATAAAGCCAATAGAGTTCGGGGCTTAGTACAGTAAGAATGAAGAAATGGTAACTCAGTCTATTACAAAAACATGCAATTTTTGATGTTAATGTAGTTCCTTACAGTGTTTTCATAAAAAAAAAAAAATTCCCTTCTCTTTGCCTCTCCTCTGATTGTTCTTTAACTGAGACGAGACAAAGGGAAAAAAAAGCAAACGTTCTAGGGTTGAGGACTTGAACCAGAGAGAAGTGAAAGTTCCAATATTCCTTGTAAGAATTTTCCGTCGATCCCTTAGTCTGTAGTCAATACCTTACATCCGGTCCTTAGGAGGGGGCGTGGCTTCCTGGAAATTCTGTCTGCAGTTGTTTTCTGCCTGCAGCGACGCAGAGTGCTGGGAACAGCTGGAGGAGGTAAGTGACCAGGCTGCCCGCGTCGGGGCTGAATGGCACCCCGTGCTCCTGAGGATTGAGACCTGCCTCTTTCAACTTCCTTTCCGCATCTTTAAATCTTTTGGGGATCGTTTTAACTGCAAGCCCAGGGTAGGGAACCTAGTCCTGGAGTGCGATGCCCTGAGGGTTTCTGCGGGTTTGGCAATTCGGGGGAATCCTGCTGAATGTGGAAGGGAGATGTAGCCATTTCCGGGTAATCCCAAGACCCCTCTTTCTACTTCACTTCTCTTTTACTTCATTTTATTTTTGATCAACTTCTCTCGTTCGTTCTTCCTTCCTTCCTTTCCTGTGGACACTTGATGCTTTCTCAATTTTATGTGATTTTATGCTGGGGAAATGGAGCTTCAAGCCCTCTTTCTCCAAGTTCCGCCCCCCCGCCCCCCCCAACAACCCCCGCCCCAGTCGGACTGCAGCCCCTAAAGCTTTCTATATAGAAATTCAGGACTGTCTCAGATCCCTCCCGTTAGTATTTGGATGCTGAAATTTTAGGACTGAATAAGGACTCAGTCACTCTCCGTTTCTAGAGGAGGCCCGTTTTCACCCACTCCTCCGGATTCCGGGTTCTCCACTTCTCCCCTGCAGCAGGCTGCAGGGGTGTGACCCACTGCGCCAGCGCCAGCTGCTCCTTCCCGCCCCCGCCATGCCAGGGCTCCTGCATTCCTGAGGGTCCGCCTGGCACTGAGGCCTCCCCTGAGTCAGTGAGCCATCCTCTGCTCTCCCTGCTGCCTGGGATTCAAGGCTTTGACCTTGGCCAGCCGCTGTGGCCAGTCTGCCTACCTGTTGCTGGGTGTATTTCTGAAGTGCCTTCTTGAAGGAAGAACTAATTCTGACGCAGCTTCATTTGTTTGGGGAGGGGTGGGGGAGAGAGTCCAGGAAATCAAATGTCCGGCAAAGAGGGATTTGCTCTGGGGTCATAATCAGGAAATAAGGTTGTTTTTTTCTAGGAGACGCCCCTCTGCTTCTCTCGCCCCATCTGAAAACCACCCTGGGTGAGTATTACCTAATTTTGGAGCATGGGTTGCCTGACACCTGACGCAGTTTCTTCAGCTGTTGTACCCAATGTCCTCCTGCTTTAAGCTCCCTGCTGGTGCGGCTGGAAATTCCTCCCGCTCCCAGCTCCAGCCTGTTCCGGAGCTTAGGGAACTTAGCCCGTCAGGGGTCTGCATGCAAACCTCTCCTCCCCCGCAGCTGCTGTTGCCCTCTGGTTCTCTGTCACTGTGCCATTTTACCACACTCAGTTTTTACTCAGCTGCTCAAAATAAAAACAGACAGGGACGGAAGAGCCTGTCTTATTAGCTCTGATCTGTGAGGTGGGGCACTGTGATAAGAAACAGGATTGCCATCAGCTGGAGGAGCAATCTGGACTTTGTTCTGGATTGGGGTTAGTGTGTGATATGCTTTAAATGGTCATTGGGATGAGCATAGATGGCCTCGAATAGTTACAGACAATCTCACAAATGCTTGGGTTCAGAAAAGCCCCAGGACATCTTCAATGGGTAGGACCAGCTCCACCTGTTACTTCTCCACATAAAGGAATCATAATGTAAATCACAATGTATGTACATACATTGATTTGTTAACATGTCACATGAAATGGTTGTCTAAGGTTATAGTAAATCACACATAGGTGATTCCTGGGTGGCTCTCTTGTAAAGGATCCCCTATCAGTGCAGGAGATGTAGGAGACAAGGGTTTGATCCTTGGGTGGGGAAGATCCCCTGGAGAAGGAAATGGCACCCCACTCCAGTATTCTTGCTTGGAAAATTCCATGGACAGAGGAGCCTGGCGGGCTACAGTCCAAAGAGCTGGACACACCTGGGCACATACATGTGTACATACCACACACACATATATAAATATATCCTCAGCAGGTGAATCCATCAGCAATTTCAATTATGAGCCTCAAAAGAAAAGCTGCAAGGTAATTGCTCCAAATTGTAAGGGGGTCCATTTTGGATTTGGCAGGTTCCTACTTGCAGATGGCTGAGTAGCATGATCCAAGTAACGGCAGAGGTCTATTTAATAATAGTAAAAGCAATAAGAGGAACAATACTCATGTCTATTAACGTTGATTAACTGTTTCCTGTAAGTCAGGCACTGTTCTAGGAACTTCACATGTACTAATTCATATGTGCATATATGATATACAGGTAATATGGTTTTCATTTTAGCAAGAGAATACTGAGATTCAGAGGGGTTAAACTAATTACACTGATTCAATGTATCTAACAAGTGGTGTATTAAATATGCTTTAGAAAAAATTGGAGCCAGCCTTTGAACAAGCCTCAGGATTTTTCAGAGATTTCCTATTTAGTATATACTTACTGAATCTTACAGCTTCCCCACCTGGGTCTGGCATTTAGAAGGAGCCTTACTACCGGGTCTTCTCCAGAGGCTTAGATAGTAGATAATCAGCCTGCAATGCAGAAGACTTGACCTATCCCTAGGTCAGGAAGATCCCCTGGAGAAGGGAATGGCATCCCACTCCAGAAGGGGTTGCCTGAAGGGTTCCATAGACAGAGCAGCCTGGTGGACTACAGTCCATGGGGTCACAAAGAGTTGGACACAACTGAGCAACTGACTCTTTTCTTACTGCTGCTGCTAAGTTGCTTCAGTCGTGTCCGACTCCTAGCGACTCCATGGACTGCAGCTGACCAGGCTCCCCCGTCCAAGGGATTCTCCAGGCAAGAGTACTGGAGTGGGTTGCCATTGCCTTCTCTGCTTGTCTTACTATTAGCAACTTTTTCACCTATCCGGTCTTTTTCTAGGTTCCTCCCTCCACCATTATGCCAGAGAGAAGCAAATAAAATGCTGGTACTTGAGTGATTGGGCTTCTCTGATGGCTCATCTGGTAAAGAATCAGCCTGCTGTGTGGGAGATCTGGGTTCGATTCCTGGATTGGGAAGATCCCCTGGAGAAGGGAACAGCTACCCATTCCAGTATCCTGGCCTGGAGAATTCCATGGATTATATAGTCTGTGGGGTCGCAAAGAGTCAAAAATGACTGAGCGACTTTCACTTTCATTTTCTGAGTGAATAGTTCCCAGCATGTTACTCTGTTCATCATGTATTTTTTCCACAGTAACCCTGTGTCACCATGGTGCACTCAGGAGGCCTCCTCACTCCCCGGGAGAAGTCAGGTAAGTCTGACTCATAACTCTTACTTGCCTTCATACCTAACCTGGCCTACAGGAGGCATTCAACTAAATTTTGTTGAACTCTTGTACTCTGGTCTGTCTCCAGTGCCACTGAAGAGCATCTCTGTGACCTTGTCCGTCTGTGAGTTTGTGGCTGGTGTGTCTGCAACCTTAAACTACAAGAATGAGGAGGAAGTTCCTTTGGAGGCTTTCTTTATATTCCCCATGGATGAAGACTCAGCTGTCTACAGCTTCGAGGCCATGGTGGATGGAAAGAAAATTAAAGCAGAATTACAGGACAAGATGACGGTACTTTGGATAAGTACATTACCTCCTTCTTCTTTTCCCTAATGCATACTCTTCAGAATCTCTAGCAAATGCAACTTCACAAAAAAATGCTGTGGTTGAATGCTCTTTCCTCTACTCCCCTCTAACTGCTATTTTCCTAAAATCATTTGGAGGGAAAGTCAATGAGAGTCACTCAAAGTACAGCTGTGGGGACTTCCCTGGTGGCACAGTGGATAACAATCTGCTTGCCAATGCAGGGTCATGGGTTCGATCCCTGGTCTGGGAAGATTGCACGCACCACAGGGCAACTAAGCCCACAAGCTGTAAGTACTGAAGCCCACATGTGAGCCTGTGCTCCACAAGAGTAGTCCCTGCTCACCACAGTTAGAGAAAGTTCGAGCAGGCAACAAAGACCCACTGAAACCAAAAATAAAAGCAGAGAGTAAAACTTAAAAACAAAATAGAGGAGTGAACTTGGCAATACCAGCCCCCGTTTCTCCCTGCTCGTCTCTGTTTTCTGTACCCCGTGTACCCTCACTAACCATGTCGGCTTCTTTCTCTGTTCTCAGGCACACACCAGCTATGAGAATGCCATCATCCGTGGCCACCAGGCCTTTCTGTTGGAGGAGGACATGTGCTCCCGGGATGTGTTCTGTTGTAACGTGGGGAACCTCTTGCCCGGGTCGCAGGCGGAGATCACCCTGAAGTATGTGCAGGAGCTGCCCCTGGAAGCAGATGGGGCTCTGCGCTACGTGCTCCCAGCTGTCCTGAATCCTCGGTACCAACTCTCTGGTCAGTCTCCTCCCCCTCCAAACACTACTTGGGGAGTTGGTGTAATTGGGGAAACCCCTTCAAAGCTGTTGGGTGCTAGAAAGTGTGGGAAGGGAGCACCAGAACTAAAATAGCTTTTTGTAGGATGTTCTGAGGACAGTTGCCTTAATATGAAGACTCCTGTAGTCTCGTTGAAGGACCTGCCCTACACAATCAGCTTGGTGGCCACCGTCAGTTCCCAGCATGGTATTGACAGGATTCAATCCAACTGCTCCCTGAGTCCTATTGAATACCATGGAGATAATAAGACTTCTGCTCAGGTAATTCACAAGAGAGCATTATCATTGCTGGTACCCTTTTCCTTTAGATCCTGACCTTGGTCCTCACTCAGTTCTTCCTCATTTTTTCTTATTAACCCAGAGGGGATCACACTGCGCTCCCTCCTCATCCCCACTTTAGTCTCCCCAGCCTTCTCTCTGTTCTTGCTACTGCTCTTGGCCATTCTCCCTCGTGGAAGGAGCCTGTAGCCGTCAGCTCTGACCTCAGCCCTGGGCAGAGGCACCGATAGCTCTAACATGTCTTCTTTGTTCCCAACTCAGGTCTCCTTGGCCGATGGACACAAGTTTGATCGGGATGTGGAATTTCTGATTTACTACAGTGCAGTGCACACCCCTAGTGTAGTCGTGGAGATGGGAGAACCTGCAACAAAGCCAGGTATTGTCTTTCTCCCTCTGAGGTTACCTCCTGAGGAGTAACTTTCTGATTTGGAATTATCTTCAAATTATCCTGTTTTATTTCCTTCCACTACTATTCAGTAGTGGGTAAAACATTGAAACAGTTTACATTATGATGTGAAAGAAATGGTTAAGTTCAGTGAATATCTTGTGGTTATATCTTATAGGCAAATCTAAGTGCACCAGTAGATAATTGAACCAAGGACATGAACAAATAATTCACAAGAGGAAACACTAGTTTACAAACGTGACAATGAGCAGTCTTTACAAAGGCAAATAAAAATAAAAGTAATAATGTGACATTTTCACTTTTCAAGTTACCAGAGATTTCCAAATCATGCTTTAAAAGGTGTGGCGAATTTGGTACTCAGAGATTGCCTGAACCAAAATAGTTTGGTATCAAGCTTTTGAGGGGAAATGTGGACATATGTGTCAAAATAAATATTTATTTTGGTAATTCTAGGCTTGGGAATTTTACATATGAAAATAAATCTAAATATAAGTAAAAATATGGATTGAAAAGTTCTCTTCTCTTTCAGTTTAATCATATCAAAGACCGGTAAGCAATCAAAATGTCTTACAGTGGTTAAATTCACTATGCTAGGTATATTTGTTACTATGTAACTACTAAAATAATGTACATTAACAGATTGAAATAATATGGGAAAAAGGTTTCCAAAGATTGTTAAAGTAAAAATGAGTTGTAGAAGTAGATTACCGATAAGAAATAATCTATGCATTGGGAAAAACCATTTTAAAACAGAGAAAGTATGCAAGAAGTAATTGTGATTAGTTTAAAAGTAAGTTTACTTTTTAGATCTAACAATTTCTGTTGGTTTTGATTCATGTACCTTCACGTAATCTCACCTGGAATTCTTTTTTTTTTTTGGGGGTAAATTTATATACATCAACTTTACTTTTGTAACTATTTTTAAGTATAAAATCCCATTGCCTTGCATACATTCACTTTGCTGTTCAACCATCACCACCATCCGTCTGCAGATATTTTTCATCTTGTCCTAGTTACTTAATTTCTGAGACTATGTTTAGTTTCTTAATGCTTAGCTTATTATTATTATATTATAACATATTATAATCATATATACACATTATTATTGTAATTTCTTTAACGTGTCTTTTTTGGGGGACTTCCTTGGTGGTCTAGTGATTAAGAGTTTGCCTTCCAATGTAGGGGGGTGTGGGTTTGACCCCTAGTCAGGGAGCTAAGATCCTACATGCCTTGTGCCCAAAAAACAAAAATATGAAACAGAATTTATGTTGTAACAAATTCAGTAAAGTCTTTAAAATGGTCCACATCAAAAAAAAATCTTTAAAAAATATTAATAGCAATTTATCTTATTTTCTAAATTTTTCTTAATATGTGTGTACTTTTCCTTATAATTATAACTGGTATAACCCATGTCCATCTCTTGTTCTGTGGGGCCTTCTTGGGCTGGCAGGCCACACTGGCTTGCAGGGACCTCAAAGAGGTCTACAACAGCTCCTCTTCCAGGAAGCCCCGTGCTCTGTCTTTGTACGTTAGTTCCTGGCTGTGTCCTTTCCTTCTGGGGAGTTCCCCTCGGGTGCCCCTGAAATTCTCCTGCAACAGTGGCCTGGTCTTTGTGTGAGTATGTGTGTGCTCATATGCTCAGTCGTGTCTGACTCTTTTCAACCCCAGAGACTGTAGCCCACCAGGCTCCTCTGTTCATGGAATTTCCCAGGCAAGAATACTGGGAAATTCATTTGCTTCTTCAGGCAATCTTCCTGACCCAGGGATTGAACCCACCCATGACTCCTTCGTTGGCAGAAGGGATTCTTTGCCAATGAGCCACCTGGGAAGCTGGACCTGGCCTTTACTCAGTTATTTTAATCCACTGGAGAAAGTTCTATGATGTTGAATCTCAAGTGGTAAGGATTGAGATGTCCAGCCCTCTTCTTGCAAGCTCTATTAGCCATAGGAGGACTTCAGAGAACTCTTTACACGTCTAGAGAATCCCTTCCAGTAGCACCCCTCACATCTTGCTTTCTATATTATGTATTTGATCAAGATGACTTGCTATTTCCATCCATACCAGGAAGCAAATGACAACTGACCGCTTGACTCACTAAAACAGTTTGTAGTTCGACCAAATGAAGCATACCACTACATGACAGAAATGCATAGTCTGTCTTTCAAAAACTTAGACTGTACTTTCCATATTAAGAACATGATATTTTTAAAAAATAGTATGTATAATTTGATAAAAATAATCATATAAAACAATTTATAAATAATTTTATTAAACTATTCTTAATCTAAGTTGAGCCATAGACTGAGTTCCTTAAGGGTATTGTATCAGACTTCCCTCACTTAACTCTTAAAGTAATATTTAAAAAAAATTTTTATTGGAGTATAATTGATTTATATTGTTGTGTTTCAGGTATATGGCAAAGTGAGTCAGTTACACATATACATGTATTCACTCTTTTTTTGGATTCTTTTCCCATGTAGGCCATTGCAGAGTATTAAGTACATTTCCCTGTGCTATACGGCAGGTTCTTATTAGCTGTCTGTTTTATATATGGTAGTATGTATATGTCTATCTGAGTCTCCCAATTTATCCATCTCCCCCACCTTATCCCCTGGTAGACATAAGTTTGTTTTCTACATCCATGACTCTACTTCTGTTTCTTAAAATAATCTTGAGGCCGGTATTAATACTTTGATTTCACAGGAAACAGGCTAGCAAGCAGAGGAGCTAGGGTTTGAAATGCCTCATTTAAAAAAGAGGAAGTTGAGACTCTGGAGATGAAAATAATTTGAGCCATGACAAAAGAATAATGGCAAATGACATATATAGTGTTTCCTATGTGTCTGGCATTGTTTTAAAGTTTAGCCATATTATATATTAACTCATGTCATTGTTGTGGCAACCTCTCTGACCTCTTAATACAGTGCCAGTCCCACTATAACGAGTTGTCTCTCAGAATGGAAAGTAATCTACCTTGCTCATTAAAAAAAAAAAAAAAAAGCTACTCCTTTATATCCAGAGATCCTGGATTGTTTAAAAGTTATTTTTGAATCAATGTTCTATCAAATATTTGCTGAGCCACACCCATTTTATTTGGAAGCCATTTTGGTTATTGAGATATCTCAGAGGTAAGAGGTTAAACTGAAGCAGATCTTGTTATCATTCTGAATCCCAGGGGTACTGATAATTTAAAACTGTAATCCTAGAATCACTTTATAAAAATAGGATATTGGGATTTAATTCTGTGTCTTTTATATTCTCTGAACAGTCAAGGTAGAGTTGATATAACACAGCCATTCTTATTTCATCTCCTGTATCTGTTTTCACTTGTTCCTCAAAATAGAATCACAGCTCTGGCCTTTGCAACTTGGTAACATAGGCTAGACACCCATGATCTCTTCTATACTATTATTTGGATGATGCTAGTATTAGAGTGCAACACACATTTAAGTACTTCTCTTTCTTTGTTCTGGAGAGTACCAGAAGTGCTTCATACCCAAATAAAGCACAGATGGATTCCTTGTCCTGTATGACACTCATTACACTCTCAGCTCTTATAAATTGTCAGCATAAAAATTATCCACACAGTCATCATTTTTTTTTTTCAAAGTTGCAATTAAGAATTAAGGACAGGCTATCCTGGGGGCTCAGATGGGGAAGATCCCCAACCAGGAAATGAGAAGGAGAGGACAGCCCACTCTAGTACTCTTGCCTGGAGAATTCCACGGACAGAGAAGCCTGGCAAGTTACAGTCCTTGGGGTTGCAAAGAGTCGGACACAACTCAGCAACAAACAGCTTCTTTTCCCTGGTGGCTCAGTGATAGAATCGACCTGCCAATGCAGAGGATGCCAGTTTGCTCCCTGGTCCAGGAAGATCCCACAAGCCATAAAGCAACTAAGTTCATGTGCCACAGCTATTGACCTTGTGCTTCGGAGCCTGGTAACTGCAGCTGCCGGGCCTGCACACCCTGGAGCCCTGCTGTGCAACAAGAGAAGCCACCGCAATACGTCCACGCGCAGCTAGAGAGTGGCCCTGCTCACCACAACTAGAGAAAGCCCAGGTGCGGCAGCCAAGACCCATCACAGCCAAAAAATAAACTAAAAGTTACTTAGAAAAAATAGAATTAAGGAGTCCATGTAAATACATTTCCCTTTGATTTGATGTGAAGATATCACATAAATTAGCTTGATTCCTCTGGCAAAGGCTGGGACATTTTAACCATGTATTTCACTCCCAACTGCTAGGAGATTAACATCCAGATATAGTATTTTAATATTGCTTGTATATAGTAAATTCTACCCTCTTTCTTCTCCTTTATATCTGTAATATATCTGTATCTTTTATATGTTTGTAACTCACCTCAAACTCTGTGCCAGCAGATATGGTATAAAGATTAAACTGTTTTAGATTTGTGTTTTCCCAGCTTCTTAGAAAACTCACTACAATTGAGTCTTGAGTTCCCTTTTTCTTACCACGTCTTTATTCTTTCTGAGTAGATGGTGTGTTGGGAGATCCAGCTGCAATGGTGACTTTCTACCCGAATATCCCAGAAGCTCAGCCATCAATTGCCTGTGGAGAATTTATCTTCCTCATGGACTGCTCAGGAAGCATGCAGAGCCCCATGAATAAACAGAGGAAATCTCCGCTGCGCATAGAGGTAGCCAAGGTAAAAGTAGTTTCTTTCTTTTCCTGGTCACTTGCTCAAGTGGGAGTGAATCTTGGGGATTAAATTAGGGTCCATTGGAGCTGTAGGTCTGTTCCCCATCTGAGTTACAGTTATCATGACTGCTCTGAGTTTAGCCTTGGAATAGAAGGGCCTGGGGGATTGAAGGCATGAAGACCCATTCCTAAGAGTTAGATTAGCAGGGTCATGTGATTGAGAGCATCCTTTCTCACTGTCTTCTCACATGGTCTTCCTTCAGGAAACACTGATTTTGCTTCTGAAGAGTTTGCCTTTAGGGTGTTATTTCAACATCTATGAATTTGGATCTACTTATGAGGCATTCTTTCCGTAAGTTTCCAGAAAGTCCATAGAGAATTTAAAAAGCTACTTTATACAATGAAATATTACTCAGTCATGAAAAGGAACAGATTTGAGTCAGTTGTAGTGACTCCTCCCTCCTCTCTCCCCTACAGAGTAAAGTAAGTCAGATAAACTAGTATCATATATTGACACATAAGGAATCTGGAAAAATGATATTGATGAACCTAGTAGGGAATAGACCTGTGGACACAGCGAGGGAAGGTGCGGGTGGGGTGAATTGAGAAAGTAGCATTGACAGTATATGCAGCATCATGTGTAAGATAGATAGTTAGTGGGAAGTTTCTGTGCAACACAAGGAGCCCAGCCTGGCCCTCTGTGATGATCTAAATGGGTGGTATGGAGACAGGGGAGGGTAGGTTAAGAGGGAGGGGATATATATATATGTATAAAACTATGACTGATTCATGTCGTATGTTGGAAACCAACACGATACTGTAACACAATTTTCCATCAATTAAAAAATAAATAAAAATTTTTAAAAGGCTACTTTAAAAAGAGGACTAGATTGTTAAAGGGGTTGCTGCAGAATTGACTTTGGCATTGGAGATTTCAAGTTAAAGTTGTTTACAATTCAGGGACTTAATACTGGGCTATGTCTAGTAGCCTTCATTTCACTGGAGAGTGTTTGTTTTTCTCAGGAATAGTGTGGAGTATGCTCAGAGTACCATGGAGGAGGCACTGCGGAGAGTTAAGCTTATGAGGGCTAACCTAGGGGGTACGGAAATCTTGATACCACTCCAACACATTTACAAGCAGCCTTCTGTCCCAGGCCACCCCCTGCAGGTAAGAATTGGAACAGAGTTCAAAAAGGGATGGAATGGAACCCTTGTTGAAGAATCCATAGCTCTGGGCTTCATCACAGGATTGTTGAAATGTGGTAGTAATTTAGCCGTGGGTTTCCCAGGTGAAGTGGTATAGAATCATTGGTGGTATAGTCTCAGTGGTATAGAATCCGCCTGCTAATGCAGGAGACTCGGGTTCAATCTCTGGGTCAGGAAGATGCCCTGAAGATGGAATTAGCAACCCACTCCCGTATCCTTGCCTGAAAAATCCTGTAGACAGAGGAGCCTGGCGGGCTATAATCCTTGGGGTTGCAAAAGAGTTGGACATGACTTAATGACTGAACAACAGCAACAAATTTAGCTTTATCTCCTATAATAAAGAGACTAAGATGAGGCATTTGATGGCATTCCTCTCCCTCAGCTCCATGCTATGGACCAGGGATGAACGAAGCTCTTTTGGGAGGTGCCACAGAAGCCCTGCATGAAATTATCAGAGGAGATGCTGAATATTCTCAGGGTTCTGATCAGACCATGTGAGAGAGGTGAACATTAGAAACCTCATGCCTGTCTGAAGTGACATGAGTCTCTGAAATGAAATAGTTGGGGTTTTTCAAGGGCAAGTTCTGGTGTCTTTAAATATACTTCAGAGACTTGATGGATGTTTTTTTTCTACAGGTTTTTGTCTTCACAGACGGAGAAGTTACTGATACATTTACTGTCGTTAGAGAAGTTAAGAGCCACTATCTAAGGCACAGGTATGGGTTAATGTGCCTGGACTCACATAATGTCACATGTAATCTAGTGCCACCTGATAACAGTATTCATATTCCTTTCAGACAGCAGAATGATTCAAGTATTTTAGTTTTAATATTGAAAATATTTTTCTGTATATCTCCACTTCCTACTAAAAGAAAAAAGTAATTTTCTAAATAGTATCAACAACACAATGAAACATTATCCTGTGGTGTCTCTAAACCACAATGGAAACAAAAACTGAACAGTAAGAATTTTTCTTTACTATAAACATTGTGATCAAAATAATACAGAAAACTATAAAATTTTAAATATATAGCTGGGTGAATTATCAGAGTGACACACATGTGTAATTACTACACAAGTCTAGAACCAGAATGTTTCCGACTTCTTCATCTCTATCCATTTCTATCACATCCCAGTTTTAATCTCTACTCATTTTTTTCCTCTCCAAAGAGGAAATAAAATAACACTGTGGGTTATTTTTGCTTGTTTTTGAATGAAAATAAATGAGTTATGCAGTATGTTTTTGTTTCTGTGTATCTGACTTTGTTCCTTCAGCTATATGTTGAGATTCATGCGTATTTTGCATGGAGCCATAATTTTCATTGGTATATAGTATTCCACAGGGTGATTATACCATAATTTATTTATTGATTCTACAGATGATAGTCTTTGGTTTAGTTGCTAAAAATTATACTTCTGTGAACATTCTTGCATTCTTGTACATGCATTTTTTGGACATGAACATGTATATACATATATATGAATACATACATACATACATATCTATGTTCATATAATATAGAATTCAAACACACTGACATAGTTGTGAACTTTTGGGGGTATACCAAATAGTTTTCCAAGTTATTGTGCTAATATAATACATACCAGCATTGTATCAGGGTTCCAGTTGCCGTGTTACTTATCTAAAATTTGGCATTATTTGTCTGTTAAAACTGTAACAGATTTTGTGGGTGTGTGTAGTACTATCTCATCATGGTTTTAATTTACATCTTCCTAATTAATGAAGTTGAGCACATTTTCATATTTATTGACCACTTGGATATCCTTTTGTGATCGTCAAGTCTCTTTCCAATTTTTTTCTATTAGATTTTCTTTTTTTAAAACTTATCTATAGTTCATTCTATGGTCTAGGTACAAACACTTTTGGATATGTTCTAGAAATATAGTTTTCTGCTCTATGGCTTTCCTTTTCACCCTCAAGATGGTATCTTTTGATTAATAATTGTTCTTAATTTGATATAGGTTTCTTTTAGTCATTGGCTTTATGGTTAGTATTTTTTGTATTCTGTTAAAAAGTCTTCCATTATCCAAGGTCTTGAAGTTACTTGCCTTTGTCATTTTCTAGAAGATTTATTGTATTTTCTTTCACAGTTAGAATCACAGTTGATCTGAAATTTATTTTTGTGAATTGTATGAGTTAGGGGTCAGGGTTCTTTTCTCTCTTTCTCTCTCTCTCTCTTTTTTTTTTTTCATGTGGATATCATATTGACCTTTTATCTTTTATTTAAAGTTTGTCCTTTCCTCAGTGATGTACAGAGCCATTTGGACACAAATAAGCATCTATACACGTGTGGCTTGTTTCTGGATCCTCTGTTGCATTCTGTTGATCTCTTTATGTGCCGGCAATACTCTGTATAAATTAGTGTTACTTTCTGATAAATTTTCATTTCCAGTAGAGTAAGTCCTCAGCTTTGTTCTTTTTCAAGACTTAGTCATTCTTGGACTTTTTGTATTTTATAATTAGCTTGTCAGTTTTTAACCAAAAGAGGAAACATGTTTGGGTATTGACTAGAATTGTATTCTCTTTATGTCAGTTTTGGGAAAACTTTAGTATTTGTTGTATAAAACATTTCTATATACATAATATGTCCTTCCTTTCATTTGGGTCTTTCTTCATTTTTTCTAAATATGTGTTTCCTATATATTGCTTTGAAAGATTTACCAAACCTAGCAAATAGTTGCAAGAATAAAGCAATAGATGTTCATATACCATTCACCCAGGTCCACCAGTTTTCAACGTTTTAACATATTGATTTCACTTAATTTTTTTGGTCTGAAATAGTTGAAAGCAAGCCACAGATGCCATGACCTTTCATATGCATATCATTTTGCGTTCATCTTCTAAGAACCGAGAATATCTGACAAATAGTCAGAATAAAACTACTTGGGCTTCCTTGGTGTCTCAGAGGTAAAGAATACACCTGCCAATGCAGGAGACATGGGTTCAATCCCTGATCCAAGAAGATCCCACATGCCACAGAGCAACTAAGCCCACGGGCCACAACTATTGAGACTATGCTCCAGAGCCTGGGCTCTAGAGCTACAACTACTGCGAGCACATGCCGCAACTCCTGAAGCCCGTGTGCCCTAGGGCCTGTGCTCCCCAAGAGAAGCCACCCCAATGGGGAGCCCATGCACCACAGCTGGAGAGTAGCCCCCTCTCACTGCAGCTAGAGGAAAGTACCCACAGCAGCAAAGACAGCACAGCCAAAAATAAATTAGTAAATAAAAAAACCAACTGCTCAATTCAGGATATTTAATTTTTATATAAAACATTATTTAAATATAGGTCATTTTGCCAGTTTTTTAATAATGTCATATATAATTTTGTTTGTTTTTGATTTTTGTTCAGGAGGAAATTCAATAATACGTATTTTATTTAGTTATTATGCCTCTCTAATTTCTTTTCCTCTAGAGTAGTTTCTTGGCTTTTCACTATCTTTAATGACACTGACTTTTTAAAAGAGTACTAGCTAGTTATTTTTGGAAAATTTCAGTTATGTTTGTTTGACTAAGTTTATGTTTAGATTAATATTAAATATTTTTGTAAAAAATATTCCAAACTGAATTTGGGCCTGGCTGTGAATTTTGTCACTTAGTTAAAGGTGGTATCTGACATATAACTTTGACATTTTTGTAAACATCTTGTTTTCGGCCAATGTTTACCCAGTAGTTTTAGCATTCACTAATGATTATTGCCCAGATTGCTGTTAGTGGTTACAAAATGGTGATTTTTTCAATTCTGTCAACTTTTCCATATTTGTTGCTTGGCATCCTACTGTAAAGAAGAATTTTCTCTTCCTGACTACCTCTGTGCCCCTCCCCCCACCTTTTTTGTTGTTGTTGTATCAATGTGTACTTTTGGATTCTTCTATTATTTTTCATTTTTTAAAGATTCATTGCTCTCATTATCTATTTAGATTCTCAGAATTTCTAGGTTTGGTCAGTGGAAGCCCTTTTAACTTGCTCCTGTGTCTTTTTTCACACGTCTCTGGTTTATGAATATGTTCTTTCTTACAAAAAAACTCAAAAAACAAAAAACAATTTAGAGATCTTGTTGAGAATTTGAAGAAGATAATACCAGTATGCTGGCAGGCTCTGGTCTCCGGAGGGCTTGATCACAGTTAGGTTCCTGTAGTTGGATGTCGGGTTCTTAGCTCTCCATGTTTAGAGCATTAATCCTGAGGTTGATATCACTAGATATGGGGATGATGACTCACGTTAACCCAATAAAAAAGAGATGGATATATAGGCCAAAATTACAGTGTATTATTTTCATATAATGAAAACTATTTTTGTCATGCCCTTAAAAAATGCTTGTATTTGTATTATCTCTGTTTATAGACAGTCTTATTTGGGAATCTGTTTGTGGTTTAGAAGCTATTTGGTGCACATTGACAAGGGTGGGGAGAGGACCCTCCAGTTAGAAGAGCAGGAGGCACTTTTGTCTGGTGGCTCAGATGGTAAAGAATCTGCCTGCAATGCAGGAGACCAGGGTTTGATCCCTGAATCAGGAGGATCTCCTGGAGAAGGGAATGGCAAACCACTCCAGTATTCTTGCCTGGAGAATTCCATGGACAGAGGAGCCTGGCGGGCTATGGTCCATGGGGTTGCAAAGAGTCAGACATGACTAAACAACTGACACTTGCACTTTTCGTAAGACTAGCCTTTTGAGGGCAGATGTGCTTTCGGTACAGTGTTAGTCAAACACTGATAGCAGTGTCTGTTTTTCCTAACTTCTCATTTCTGATTAATTCTTTGGATTGATTATTAAAATAATTGATGAGGATGCAGTCCTGTTAGTTTGGTTTTTTTCTGCTTCTAGAATCAGTGTAACGTATAATGATTTGCCAGGGGCATGTTATGGTCAGACTAGTGCTCAAATGTAACTTCTGTTTTTTTGTAGCTATGTGATCTTGGACATATTTTTTTAAGTTCTTTGGGCCTTAGCTCCTTACCTGCAAAAATGAGATATTATCCTATCTCTTAGGAACCTTGTGATGATTAAATTGCATCATTGATTTAAGGCATCTGGTCCCCTGAAATATGCTCAATAAATGGTAGCTCTTACTTTTGGTCAAGGAAGAAAACTATTTTTTTATGTACTTTTGATCATTTTGTGTTAATTTTGTAAATTCACTTTTTAGTGCCTGTCTCTAACATCTTCTTTTATAATTCCAGGTGTTTTTCATTTGGTATTGGTGAAGGAGTCTCCACCAGCCTAATAAAAAGCATTGCCCGGGTGTCACGGGGCACTTCAGAATTTATCACAGGCAAGGAGAGAATGCAGGCCAAGGTGAGGGACAGGTCTTGTGTCTTGAGGTGGCAATATAAGAGAGTATGGAGCAGAGTGGGGCAACAACTCCCTGCCAGCATTCATTTACTTATATCCCCAAGAACTTGGGCTATATACGTAATGGGACTACTATCATCCTTATGCAGAAGGAGCCCAATATATAGTTTTGGAAGAAATGGCGTCTGGTTCTAGTAGTTGGAAGCCCAGAGCCAAGATGCTGGAATAGGTTAGGGCTTTGGGTTTAAGACCTGAAACAGAGAAACTGAATTTTGAATGTTATGATTGAGATTCTAGGTGTTTGCTTTAGGGCCTCTTTTGGTACTGTACCTCATCCTCTGTGCAAATACTACAAAGTAAAGATGAAGGCACAGCAAGCAGTAATAGGTCTGGTAGATCAGAAGAGGTGGTAGATTGATAGTCCATTTGCTTCATATACAGAAGGGAAGGCATCTTCCACCTCTGGTTATATTTCTAAATTCCTCTTTCCCAGATCTCTTATCTAATTCCTACCTCTCCTGGGTCTCCTTTCCCAGACGTTTCCTTCCTTCCTTCATAATTATGTCATTCAATCTCTCAATGTTAGTTTCCTCATTTGTAAAGCAAGAGTAATAATGCTCATGTCCTGGTGTAGATAGCATTAAGGAATAGGTGTACCATGTATTACATTGCATAACACTTGGTATGTGATATTCAGTTAGTAGTGGTATTATTGCTGTTACTGTTTTGTGCTTATTCTGGTCTTTATCCTTCACCAGGCACTTAGAGCCCTGAAACGTTCTCTGCAGCCCGTGGTAGACGATATTTCTCTGAGATGGGATTTGCCTGATGGTCTGTCTGCTAAAATGCTTTCCCCAGAACAGACTGTCCTCTTTAGGGGTCAGAGATTAATCCTCTATGCCCAGTTTACTGGGACAATGCCGGTGAGTTCTCATTCTTGTCTGTTCCTCTAGTCAGAGTAGCGATTGTCCTAAACTGCTCTGCGCAATTCCATGAAAGCTGGTAGAGTCTCATCAAGAGATTTCTCTTGGCAGGTAGAGTCAGCCCGGCCCTTCTCTATCATTTCAAGTCTCTGATTTCTTGAGTTGCCTGGTTCCCTGTCAGAAATTTAATGGGTTGGGTTGGGGAGCTGCCCCAGTTCTATCCTTTCTTTTGGTAATCTCTTCCTCTGTCATTTTTACCCTTCTCTAATTTGTAGCCAGCAGAGGCAACAGGAGAAGTTTGCCTCAAGTACACACTCCAAGGAGAGAGCCTGGAGAATAAAGTGACATTTTCCCTACAACCCAAGCTCGATGCCAAGTGAGAATTCAGTATTCCTTTGCTATTTTCTTTCTTTCTTGTTTGGTCTCTGCCATACTTCAGGTGATTTTCTTCTCTTATTCTGGGGTTCAGTAGTGGCCCTACTATCACTTCTCCTTTCTAACCTATTTGTCTCTTTTTCTTCCCCCTAATCTGTTTTTTCCCTCCTTTTCATCCTTAACTTTTGAAGGTCCTGTATAACTGACTTTTGTGTGCTTGTCCCTAAATCACAGAATTTTTTTTTCTTTTAGCCTCACCATTCACCGACTTGCAGCCAAGTCCTTTCTCCAGATCAAGGACATGGGCCTCAGGGAGACTACAGCAGGTGATAAAAAAGATGTGTTGAAAGTCAGCATGGAGTGTGGAGTCATAAGCTCCCACACAGCTTTCATTGCTGTCAACAAAGATCTCAGCAGGCCAATTCAGGGGCCACTGTCTCCTCGGGATGTTCCAAGGCCAATGATGCTGCGTGCTGCCCCAGTGGTGCAATCCTTCCCCCAACAGAAGTATGGACAATGGAGTAAGTTTTACCCCATTCAAACTCATGCAAAAGAAGGGCCTCTGGACATCTGAACACAGCATTTAAAGAAAAAGTTTGGGAAAGGTTCTTGTTGTTCATCACTGAGATATGTCTGATTCTTTGCAATCCTATGGAGTAGGTATCCCAAGTATCTAGGGATAGATGGCAGAGGATTTTCCAAGTGAAATTAAGAGGAAATGAAGTGGGAAGACAATAAGTGAATGTGTATTCAAAACAAAGGATATTCAGATGGGGTCATCAAAATATTAGATACTGCAGAAAAGTCAAGGTAAAAGTTGAAAAAGAGCTACTGGATAAATATCAAAGACGCCCTTGCCAATCTAATGAAAAACAGTTTTATTGGCTTGGATAAGGAAACAGTCCATATTACAGGATGACAAAGGGTATAAGTGAGGCTCCTCTGATGACTCAGTGGTTAAGAATCCATGTGCCAGTGTATGAGACGCAGGTTTGATCCCAGGTCCAGGAAGGTCACACATGCTGTGAAGCAGCTAAGCCTGTGAGCCACAACTACTGAACCTGTGCTCTCGAACTCAGGAGCCGCAACTACTGAGCCCAGGTGCTGAGGCCTGCTCATCCTGGAATCCACAACAAGAGAAACCACTGCAATGAGAAGCCTGCTTGCTGCAACTAGAGAAAACCTGCACACAGCAATGAAGACCCAGCACAGTGTTGAAAGTCCAGTTTAGTTTTGATTCCTTGACTTTTGTAGTGGCACCGAACTACTAAAAGGAATCAGGAGCTTTGGTATAAGAATGAAGCAGGTAGAGTGTTGGCTTAATACTGAGGTGGGGGTTTTGTCAGAAGGGTGTGATGAAAAGGAAATTAGGGAAATAGAGTTGATATTGATAAGAGTGGTATAGTGTTGGATCTGAGATTTAGGCTAAATAGGGAAGAAAGTAAAGATGGAAGGAAGTTGTTACATAGAAAAAAAAATAGAGGAAACAGATTTAGAATCCAGATGAGGTCAAAGACATAGAGCCTGTCATACAGAATGGAGTAAGTCAGAAAAACAGATATCGCTGTTAATGCATAAATGTGGAATCTAGAAAAATGGTACTGATGGACCTATTTGCAGGGCAGGAATAGAGACGCAGACGTAGAGAACGGACATGTGGACACATGCAGGGTAGGAGAGTGTGAATCCAATTGAGAGAGTAGCATTGCCATATATACACTACCATGTATGTAAAATAGCTAGCTGCTGCCTAGCACAGGGAACCCAGCCTGGTGCCCTGTGATGTAGAGGTGCCCCTAGAGGGGTGGAATAGTAGGTGAGGGAGGCTCCAGATGGAGATATATACATATACACACACAGTTACAAGTGAATTGAATTGTACAGCAGGAACCAACACATCATTGTAAAGCAATTATTCTCCAATTAAAAAACAATCAATAAAAAAAGAAAAGAAACTGAAAGAAGTGGATCCTGTATTTTAAAAGTAGAATGTTTTAAAAGTTTATTTTGTATAGGTGGAACAATTTGCTTGATAATAAGATTCTGACTTGGGAGGGAGTGGTGAAGTAGAGGGGGTGCTGAAGCCGTTTAATTGAAGAAGTCAAGAAGTTTTACATTAGGGTGTTGGACAGGTTACCTGCATAGCTGTTGACATCTCTCTAGATGATGCAGCCTGCAATGAAGTGCAAGGCTGTGATCTTTCAGACACTGCAGTGGGTGACGGGAAGTGACAGAGAAGTTGGAGGTTGACAGCAGCAAGGATGTGAGGAGGGTAACCCAGGTGAGACTGGCAGACTGGTGACCTGGCTGCAGCCACTGGGACTGAAGTGGTTTCCACCCACACCTCCCAAACCTGGGGGCTTGGGATATGGCACCTCGAGCAATTTGAGGGGGTAGGGCAAGAACAGGTTTTGACAGTTTTGAGTTAAGATAAATAGTCGGAAGAAGCCTCTCGTGATGAAACTCAAGATGCAGAAGAGGTCACGGTCCTGTGTCAAGAGTTCCAGAAGACAAAGTACAAAGCGCTCAGAGGGTGACGTTGTGTGCTGGAAGTGGGCTCATCGTAGAAGAAAGAAATGCACAATAGAGACAGTGGCTGAACTGATCTGGATAGGAGGGTCTCAAATTATCCAGGGCCTTTGGCTCCACCCGAGCATAGAGGGCGCCTTGGTCTCTATCTCTACACTGGTGTTTTTCAGCTCATTCAGAGGCCTTGTCCCACTTCCGTCCTCCTTCTCGGCTCCCTGATAATCATTACTGAGGGGTGTCCCAGCAGCAGAATAGTGATCCTGATCCTTTTAAGCCTGTGATTAAACAGAGCCTGTTCTCTCTACGTGAGCATCTTTCCAGGGACTTTTTCTGACCAGTGTTTGTCTACCACCTGTATAGGACTAAGACGTCACAGACGAGAGAAGAAATGCACATCCTTACCAGAGGGCTGCCTTGAGAAGCCAAAGCCTTGTGCTTCTGCCAAAAAGACCAATGTGGAAACTCATGGTCCAGGTGAGATGGGCCTCAGTCTTATCCTCTTCTCTATGGGAACTGAGAACTGATCTTCAATTCTCTGCTATCTTGTGGCTTTCTTTGTTGTTGTTTAGTTGCTCAGTTGTGTCTGACTCTTTGTGATCCCTTGCACGGTACCCTGCTGGGCTCCTCTGTCCATGGGATTTCCCAGGCAAGAATTTTAGAGCAGGTTGCCATTTCCTTTTCCAGGGAATCTTCCCAACCCAGGGATTGAACCTGTGTCACCTGCATCGGCAGGCGGATTCTTTACCCCTGAACCACCAGGGGAACCCTGTGACTGTCTCTACCCAGGAAGTTACCTATTTGAAAAGCAGCAGGCAGAGGTTGAGATTTGTCCAGTCCCTGTATTTGCCAGGGTCAGCTTATGACCCTGAAACCTGCCCAGTAGAGTCTGAGTTGAGCCCTAGATAAATAAACCACGTTGCCATCTCTGCTCACACTCCTTGCCTATAAGCTGGGGCCCTCCTCCCGCACAACTCACCATGTGTGGGCCCCTGCTACACTGCCATTCTTGTACAGGCTGGGTTTACAAATGGGTCTTCCTGATACTGTCTGATGATCGTCTGTCCCCAAAGAGTGTTCCTTGGTCACTGCCTTTTGTTTCAAGTAGCTGGCTTTTCATGTACCTAACAAATGGAATCTAAGAACATTTCACCATGAAGGAATGTCTTTTCTATTAAAATAGACTTGCAGGACATTTCTTTCTAGTCTCTCCAGTTTTGTAGCCAGAGTTTGTGCTGTACAGTTATTTCATTGTTTAAAATCTTATTTGGCACTCATTCTCATTAGATTATCACAGCTTCAGGGTCTAAGGTAGATTCAGAGCTCTGTACTCCCAGTTTCTGTGGAGTTTTAGGCAAATTAGTTCACTTATTAGCACCTTAGCTCGCTCATCTGCACAGCTCCTCACTTCCCTGGGTTGTCAAAAGTACCTTCTTGGGTTGTCCAAAAAGTTCATTCGGGTTTTTCCATAAGATGTTATGGAAAACTTTTTGGACAAGTCAATAGTTTGTGTTGGTTGTCTATAGTGTCCTACTACCTCAGTAACTTAGAATATCCCGACTCTAAGCTTTTTCACTTATGAATCCTTTTACCAAAGTAGAAAGAAAAATTACCCAGGAGAATAAGCTACTGGTTTTTATGAATTAATTAGCAATTACTATTTGTAGAGAGCTAATTAGTGGCCTTCCAAGTACTTTACATTCTTTGTCGTGTGTTAGGCTCTATTGTCTTGAATTTACAGAGAAGGCTGAGATTCCTGTTAAAGAACAGTTACATTTTGAGTGTTAACGGTACTGAGATTCCAACTAAGACTGTTGAAATCAGAGCCTTAGGTATTCCCCACCCCCCGCCAATTGGGGTGGAACTGTTTCTCTGGTTACAGTTTTTCTTACCTACTAATTTTCTAAGTTGCTGTAAGTACATCATCTCATAGGATTGAGATAGCCAGATGCGAGATATTTTCTATGAAAATTTTGTGGCCTTTAAGCAATTTTCATACCACCAGGATTGGACACTAGGCCATTCTTTGAGATAGACTGATGACAGCTCCCATTATATCTGCTTTCTTTGGAAATTTTGATAATTGAAACCCAAGTTACATTTGTCTACAATTTTTTTAATATACCTAAAGTTTTAAGGCCCATTTAAACATGACTGATGCTGTGCATAAAATAGATAACTAGTGAGAACCAAATGTATAGCCCAGGGAACTCTAGTCAATGCTCTGTGGTGACCTAAATGGGAAGGAGATTCAAAATTTAACAAGGGAAAGATACAGATCATTAGGCTGTTTAAGTCTTACCCAGTCCTATTTATTTTGCTGAAGAGTAGAAGCTAACATGACATTGTAAAGCAACTAGACACTAATAAAAATTAATTTAAAAAATAAAAATAAAATAAACAGGACTGGGTAAGACTTAAACAGCACCATCGTGTGGGTTCTTTAGTGACCTGTATCTTTCCCTTGTTACTGAATGCTTCAGTGCAGTCCGTATGTCACCTGAGTGGCCTGCATTGTCACAGAGAGAGGGCATGTGTCCTAGGGGACAAGACTAAAATGAGGATCTTGTGGTATCTGTTTAGTGCTGGGCTTTCACTCCATCCTGTCTCTGAATTCAGACCTGTCTCTCAGGATGCTCAGGGGCCATTAGCGCCATAATTTCCCATCCTCTCTTTTCTCCTGCCCCCCAGTCGTTGAAGATAATCATCTTGTAGAGTTGATTTCCCTTCAAAAGGCAGATGGTTCCTGGGATCTGAATGAAGGTCTGGCCTTGGTCCTGGGTATGAAGTTGGAGGACATACAGGCTGCACTTCCTGACAAGGTGAGATTCAGAGAAGAAAAGAGAGTGTGTATATTTTTGTGAGGTTGAGGTGAGGAATAAGAATTCGGGTGAATCATGACTCACCTGAGGAAGAATACAAGAGGTCATGGACTGAATTAATTTCTGATAAATAGAAGTTGATGATCTTTCTGGCTGTGTTGGAGCAGAAAGAACAAGAAATTAATCTTCTAGTAGAAGTTGATGGTTTAGAGTTGATGGATGACAGAGGGAAAGCAAAAATCCTCTTTAACTACATTTTCTGCCACTCATCTTAGTTATAATTACTTATATTTATTGAGCAATTACTCTGTGCCAACCACTGTGCATTGCACTTCCCTTCGTGACCTTATTTATTCATCAATCAATTAAATATGGTAAATCCTACTCATGCTGTGCTTAATAGATGAATAAACCAGGGTTCAAAGAAGTATGGTAATGTCTTTGAGTGTACTCAGCTAGATTCAGGCAGAGCTGAATTCAGTCTAGGACTATCTGTCTTCAGAATCTATGTTCTTTCTCCTAAACAGGGTGGTCCAGAAATTAACAGAATTTCACCAAAGTTAGGATAGGTGAAGTATCAATAGGGACAACTTAGTTATTTCAAATGTGTTCAAGTATGCTGATGAGGACAAATTACATTCAAGAATTTCAAGGTAACTTACTGAATCTTCTAATTGAGAAATTGTTGAATATTGAGATATACACCAAATGAGACATATGAGACAAATGCCAAAAATTTGAAGTACACCCATCATTCTGAATTTTCAAAATGTGTAAGGTGATTAAATAAATTTTAAATATGCTATAATTGCCTCATCTAATATAGTATCCACTAGTCACCTGCAGCCTCTAAGAGCTTGAAATGTGACAAATGCAAATGAGAAATTAAATTTTCCATTGAATTGAAATGTGCTATAGTTGTGAAAGACAAACTGATTTCAAAGACAACATAAAAATGTGAACCATTCTTGATAATTATTTTTAAATTGATTATGTGTTAAAATAATATTTTGAATATATTAAGTTAAATGCAATATATTAAATAATTGTACTTCTTTATTTTTACATGTGGCTGCTAGGGCATTTAAAGTTATATATGTGTCTAGCATTATATTTCTGTTGAAATAATTATTCTAAAACAAATAATTAAAGGGATAATTTACAAATAAGTGGAAGAAGATATGAGAATCATGAAGTTCTAACTTGGTTTCCTTGAGAGCAAGACATGTCCGACTAACATTTCCTTCCTTCTCGTGGTAACTGGATCAATAAGTCAGGGGAATGAAGAGTCCTTCAATAAGGAATCTGAATTTTTAAAAAATATTTATTTGTTTGACTGTGTCGGGTCTTAGTTGCATTATGAGGGATCTTTTGTTGCAGTGCACAGACTCTAGCTGCAGTGTGCGGGGGCTTAGTTGCCCTGCAGCACGTGTGATCTTAGTTCCCTGACCAGGAATCGAACCCAAATCCCTGCATTGGCAGGCAGATTCTTAACCACTGGGCCACGAGGGGAGTCCCTGAACTTAACCTGGGAGCCTCAGGGAAGTCTCTCTCTGTGGTATAGGATGCGAATTCTTCAAGCTGGGCCACAGTCCTGGCGGTGCTCTGGCTGCATGACAACGCTAAGGACATGGAATGTGAGTGGGAGCTTCTGGAAAGGAAGGCAGTGACCTGGATTCACATCCATGCAGGTAGGAACCCAGTCCTAAGACCCCATCTTTCCCCGTGTTTAGGAAGCTAGCCATCATCCCAGGCATTGAGCCTCCAAGCCTGATAGAGGGTTACCAAGATAGCGTTCCCATATTTCCTCCCTGACCATCCTGGTTCAGATCTTTCCTGATGCCCCAACTGGTTGGATGAGGGTGCAATCTGAAATTGGGGGAGTGGAGGAGGTGGGTGTAGAGGGAAGGGGACCTGGGTGGGGAGTGTGAGCTGTGAGAAGGACGTGAAGTGAAAATGTGCTGTATTGAGTGTAGGACGGGACGTGGGGCCCTTATTCCTTGGGTATTTATCGTTTCATTGCTGCTGAATATTTCTGGGGCTGGAGAAGATTAAAGGGAGCCTGGGCAGTAGGGAGAAAAAGTCAGGGGTATTGAAGACAGCTAAGTAGGGCTCAGGGAAGATGCTGAAGAGTTTCGGGGAGCCTGGGAGGAGGGCCTGTCCTCTCATCGCTGTCCCTCAGCCTTCATGTTTGTTTCCTCCTTCTACCAGGGTCCGTCAGGCATGAGCTTGTGAAAGCTGCAATTGCTTTCATGAAATCGTCTGAGGATCCTGCCATCTTTGGCCCCTGAAGAGACCGTCCAGAAGAACAAGTGCCTCTGCCATGCTACAGTCCTTGCCTTCACCCTCTCTTCTGCTTTGATGTTTCTGTAGTTTACACCTATCCTGTCAGCTTCTTATCGTACGAGCAGTGGGCTCCCACACCCTCCAGCCTCATGGTGCCGGCTTCTCTTCAAATGTGTCACGGGTCCTGGAATCTGTTCCCTTTCTTGGAGGAATTCAAAGCATTCCCAGGCTATAATGTTCCTCCTCAATTTTCCAGAATGACCACATGAAACACAGGTGATGTGGACTCCAGACTAAAGATTGTAGTGTTGATGTTCAGGGAATGCTTGAATTAGAGAATTCTCTGCACTTTTTTTCTGTTTATTTTTGTTCTTAGGTACTTATCAGGACCAGACTGGTGAACTATGCACTTTTCTATTTTCAGATAGGAAGAAGAGCTGGAGGGGAGGTAGAAAGCCAACACTGGGATGAATATAAGCTTAAGATCACAAAGAGGGAGACTCAGGGGTCCACTGTGAGGTCTGGCACTTGGGGAGCTTCTTTCTTTTAAAAATGTTGTTTTTTTAAATTTGGAGAATAATTGCTTTACAGTGTTGTCTTGGTTTCTGTGATACAGCAATGTGAATCAGCCATAAGTATACATATGGCCCCTCCCTCTTGAACCTCCTTTCTACCCTCCACCCCATCCCACCCCACCCCAGAGTACCGGGGTGAACTGCATGCGTTGTATAGCAACTTCCCACTAGCTATCGGTTTTACATATGGTAATATGTATATTTCAATGCTCCTCTCCCAATTCATCCCACTCTTTATTTCTTGGGGACTTTCTTGATTGATCCTGCTTGGGTTTTGCTGGCCTCTGCTACATGCGTTTCCTCCCACTGCCTTGGTGACGTAGGTTGAGTTATGTCCGATAGAGACCTGTTTGTCCTTAATCCTTAAACATCTTAGTAAGAAGGCACTAATGAACTCCTTAGTCCTAGTCTGAACTCATGAGGCTTCTAAGTCCAGATCTGACCTCATATAATAGAGGGAAAACAAGCTGAAGGGCAACTTCCCCTGAGACCTCGACCGAGACCGCTCGCCTCATGAGGAAGAGAGGAGCTCCTCGTGTTTCTGAAACTTAGGTCCCATATACTCTATCCTGGTGGAAATGACCTTTTTTGATGTGTTGCCTCCTAAAATGATCTCATATCAATATTAAAATGGCCATCTCTACCCTGCACTTTGTTGTATTTGGTCTTTATTTATAAAGTTACTCACTGAATCTGCATCAGTTTTTATTATCCCTTGTTTTTTCCAGCCAACTTTTCTGGTGCCTCTACTGTTCACACTGTGTCCTTTCCTCCTATCTTCTGTTGTAGGCTGGTTTCCTGTCATTTTTTCTAATGAGAAATATATATATATATATATTTTTTTTTGGTTGCATTGTGTCTTAGTTGTGGTATGCAGGTCTTTACTGTGTCATATGTAATCTTTGTTGCAGCACGTGGACTTTCTAGTTGTGGGGCGTGGGCTCAGTTGCCCTAAGGCATATGGGATCTTAGTTCTCTGACCAGGGATTGAACCTGTGTCCCCTGCACCACAAGTGGATTCTTAACCACTGGACCACCAGGGAAGTTCCTGGCTTCCTATCTTATATGAAGCAGGTAAAGAGCTCTGGCCAGAAAACCACTGTTGGAATCCTGACCATACATTTAAACAGTCATGTGAGGAGTTTACCTTCAGGATCTTAGAATTCCCATCCTACAACTAAGGGATTAAACTAGAATTCTACTATTACTTTCAACTTGAATATTCAAGCATTCTGAGCAAGACCACAATATCTGTTCACTTAGGTGGAGAATGGCCCAGAGCTGAGTCCTGTTTGGCTCTTGCATGAACTGGCATTGGGAAGATTTGCCCGACTTGCACAGTGGTGGCTCACCTCCCAAGACTTTCTTCCAAGTTTACTACAGCTGAGTGCAACCCATGCAGTATGGTTCTGACATCACTGAGAAGCTTGCTAGAGATGCAGAATTTTAGGCAACCCCAGAAACTACAGTATCAAAATCTGCATTTTCACAAGTTCACCAGGTGATTTGTACACACATTGAACTTAGAGAAATAAGGGCTTAGTCTTTGCATAAGATAAGCTTGCATTCAAGTTTGTCATCTAGATCAGAGGTCCCCCAACTTTTGGGCACCAGGGACCAGTTTTGTGGAAGAATTTTTCCATGGACCTGGGGTGTGGGGACAGGGATAGTTGGTTTCAGGATAATTCAAGCACATTTATTGTGTACTTTCCTTCTATTATTATTATATCAGCCCCATCTCAGATCATCAAGCATTAGATCCCAGAAGCTGGAGACCCCTGATCTAGATAGTCTCTATCAATGTAATGACAGAAAAAACAGATTCTTAAGGACCATGGCACTTGCACAATTACTCTCTTCCACAAAACGACAGTCCTTTACATTTATCGTGCAGGACGTTGGCTATTCCATTCATTGTTCATCTTTCCTTTGCTCACCCTTAGCTTCCAGACTTGAGACTTAGGAATTTCTAAAACAAAAAACAGGAGAAGGAAATGGCAACCCACTCCAATATTCTTGTTTGAAAGATCCCAGGGATAGAGGAGCCTGGTGGGCTATATATAGTCCATGGGGTTACAAAGAGTCAGCCAGGACTGCAACTGAGCAAAAACCAAAAAACAAAGGACAATCTTACTTATGTTTTCTTTAAATTGCAGAATCAACTCCCATTTTAAAGTATAAACTATAAATGCCCATGCTTTTATTTTTCTAGTTGTGCTCTTGTGTTATAGAATGTTGTCCCAACTATAAATTCCTCAGATCCAAACAACAATCCCTCAGATCTTCAGAACCAACAAAGATATTTTATCACCTGCTCTGAAGCCCACTTTCAAGGCTGGTGCTTCATGCTTTAGAAAAATGTCAAACACCATCTGTGCCTTCAGGAACTGATGATCTGGGCAAGGAGCCTGGGAAGGAAGCTGCTCTCATATTGGTTTTCCTCGCCCTCTTCCTGTAGTTGTTTCCTGGCTGCTGCAGACTTGGCCAGAAGGAAGGCAGATAACATGGCCTCAGGATTCTCCCACTCAGACTGAGCCCAGTGCCTTCAGGGCAGGGTATGCTGTTCTACAGAGACTTATTAGTCAACCCATTGCTATTTTCACCAGGGGCTTCCCTGGTGGCTCAGATGGTAAAGAATCCTCCTGCCAATGCAGGAGACCCAGGATGGATCCCTGGGTCAGGAAGATCCTCTTGGAGAAGGAAATGGCAACCCACTCCAGTACTCCTGCCTGGAAAATCCCACGGACAGAGGAGCTTGGTGGGCTGCAGTTCATGGGGTCACAAGGAGCCGGACATGACTGAAGTGACTTAGCATGTGGCATGTTTTCCTCAAGGCTAACACAGTCATGTTGGAGATTATTTAGCATCTGCCATTTCTCTCCCAACTCAGCCATGGCTCCCTTAAAATCAGTCCATCTGCTTGACGTACTTGGTTGACAAGAAGAAAAACTCCATGCAATGCCCCATATATTGTTTTTCCTTTCAGTTCTATCAGTTTTTACCTCATGCATTTTGATGTTCTCTTATTAGGCACATACACATTTTAGATTTTATCATTATGTAATATGCACCCTTTATCATTATGTAATGATGTACGTTATGTACATAATGATACATAATGATTATGTTGTAATAAGCACCTTTATCTCTGATTATTTTCCTTTTTCTGAAATCTGCTTTGTCTAAGATGAATATAGTTAGTCCAGCTTTCTTTTGATTAATGTTAGCCTGATATATAAGTTTCTCTATTCCTTTACTTTTAACATAAGTTTTTATAATTGAATTGGGTTTCTAGTGGTACACACACACACACACACACACACACTTTTTTTAGCCACACTGTATGGCATGAAGGATCTTAGTATCCCAACTAGGGATTGAACCTGTGCCCTCGGCATTAGGAGCATGAAGTCTTAACCACTGGCAACCCACTCCAGTATTCCTGCCTGGAAAATCTCATGCACAGAGGAATCTGGTAGGCTACAGTCCATGGGGTCGCAAAGAGTCAGACAAGACTGAGCGACTTCACTTTTGTTTTTAGCTACTCTGACCATCTTTGAGTTTTAGTTAGCACATTTTGTAATCAGTGATTTAATTGGCTTAATATTTACTAAGTTTGCTTTCTATTTCTTACATATGTTTTTAAACATTTTCCTTTTTGGTTTAAATTAAGCAGTATATGTGATTTCATTTTATCTCCACTCTCAACATATCAATTATATTTCTTTATATGTATTTTTTAGTTGTTTCCCTAGAATTTGCAATATATATTTAAAACAAATCAGGTCCACCTTCAAATAGCATTATCTTACTTTACATGTAGTTCAGGTACCTTGGTGAGTTAGAGAGTTTTCATAATTCTTTCATCCCATTCATTGTGGCATTGTTGTTCATTTCTTTGTAATTATAATTATCCAATGCATTAGTATTACTTTAAAATTTTACCTTTTAGATTAAGAAAAATAAAAGATTTATTTTACCTTTATTTATTCCTTCTCTGACACTCTGTTTATGTATATCTGAGTTTCTGACCTATATTATTTTCCTTCTTTCTGAAGAATTCCTTTTAGCATTTCTTGCAGAATAGTTCTCCTGGAAATAGATTTCCTCAGATTTTGTTTGAGAGTATTTATTTCTCCTTCACTTCTGAAGGATAATTTCACTGGCTATTGAATTAAATATTCTGTGCTTGACTATTTCAACACTTTAAACATCTCATGCCACTTTTTCCTTGGTTATATAATTTTTGGCAAGAAATGTGTTGTAATTCTTATCCTTTTTCCTTCGTGGATAAAGTGTGTTGCTTGACTCTGACTTTTTTCAAGATTTTCTCTGTTTTTGTTTTTTGTAACATTTTATTTACTAAGCTAGAGATAGTTGTGGGAAAGCTTGGAATTGAAAAACAAGAGTGCCTCTTCGGTTACAGTGAGTTTGAGATGCCTAACATCCAGACCCCTACATGGAGATATTGAGTAACAAGTCTAGAATTCAAGGGGGGAAATCTGGGCTAGAAATATAAATATGTGAGTGAAGACAGGATTTAATATTGTGAGAATGAATGAGAGCAAAACAGGAATGAATATAATCATAAAAAGCTTAGCAATTGAACCCTGAATATATATAGTTACACACACACACATATATATTTACATATATGTGACACAAAGATGCATCTTTATTATACATTTTTTTTCTTCTGTAAGAATGCTCTACTGTATCTTTCAGGATAGCTGTTGTTACTAAAAGTTTTGTTCTTTCTGAACCATGACCTACTTGTCTGCTTGTGCCATGGAAACTGGATATTGTAGTTTGCTTGACAGACTGGGCTATATCTCAAACCTGCTACATCAGTCATCTTTCTGCTCCATCACACACAGGGGCTGTTTCAGTACTGTAGCCTGCTGAGAGTACTTGAACCATATCCCAGCAGTTGACCGGCTCTCATCATGGGAATGGGGACCACAAAGAAATGCGAGGAATCGCTTAGGAACTGGTAATAACTAAGGACACCAAGCCACTCAAGAGAGTTTCCTAGGATTCAAGTCCCTGATATTTCTGTCATACCCATCTCTCCCCAACAAAAATGCAGAAAGTATGTTTCATTCCTATATTTATTAACTTAATTCCTCCATTAACTGGATTCCACCTCTTCCACAGAAACCATTAAATTGTTAGGAAGCCCAGTAAAGCAGCTGAACACTTTCTTGCCAGAAGGAAAAAGAGAAAAAGAAAGGGAGGGGGAAAACTGATTAAGAAATTTATGACCCAGTAAGTAGCCATATCTTACTCTTGCGTTTTGGCTCACGGTTCACTTCTTCACTGCTGAGTTTTTGCAGATGAAAGAAGAAACTCTTACTTGGTTACTCATGCCAGACCCCAGCCCTACCAACAAACAATAAAGCACCTGTCACTGGACCAAGAACGCCTGGACTTAGCCCTGCTATTTATAATCAGATAGTTCTGCTGAATGATTAGTTGAGAAATCAGTTGTTGCAAGAATATGCTAGTGACTTATCTGAATTTTGGAGTAGAGGAAAAAAGGCATTAAACAAGTCAGGGCCTTTTTTTTCTGATTAAAACAAGAGTGATGCAAATAATGCAAAATTTCCTACAAATAAATTTTAGCAAGACAGCTCCCTTGAGAAATACCTACTGAAATTTCTGAGACTCAATTCCTATGAAACAAGACATATTCTGAATAGGTTCCCTTCTCTTTCTCTCTCTCATATAATCTTGCCATGGAATACACGATAAAAATGGTAATAAGGCATACACTAAGGGCATACACAACACTCCTCCAAAACCCTCAAGTGAATCTATTAATAATTCTCTCACACAGGGCCAGCTGCTTTCTGTATGGGGTCATTTTGGGAAGCAGTGATGATGTAGTGAAAGAGGGCCAAGCTTGGAGATGACTGCGTTCTGCTGTCTAACTTTAGGAAAACCACAGTTGCTCTGAGTCCAATGGCTTTACTTGTAAAATGCAGTTGATAAGAACTACCTTACATAGTTACTGAGAAAATTAAAAACATGAAATTGCATTGAAAAACTCATCCACCACAAATATAAAGTGATATTAGTTATAAAAATCAGAGTTGATTTTTCAGTCCCTCAGTCCTGTTTGACTCTCTGTGACCCCATGGACTGCAGCACGCGAGGAGATGGTGATACCCTTCACCATCTCTCAGAGCTTGTTTAAGCTCATATCCATTGAGTTGGTGATGCCATCCAACCATCTCATCCTCTATCATCCCCTTCTCCTCCTGCCTTCAATCTTTTCCAGCATCAGGGTCTTTTCTAATGACTCAGCTCTTCACATCAGGTGGCCAAAGTACTGGAGCTTCAACAGCATCAGTCCTTCTAGTGAATATTCAGGAAGGATTTCCTTTAGGATTGAATTATTTTTTTCTTTACAACTCAAAGGGAAGAGTCATATCATTCTGGATCCATTAATTGACTTGATTACATTAGGTAAGTTGCTTAAACTCTTTGAGACTAAATTTTCTACTAGAAATGAGGGAAATAATATTGCCTACTTAATGGAGAGCACTCAGCAGAATTCTGGCATGTAGGAAATGCACAATAAATATTAGTTATTATTAAAACTGTCATATATTCACAAAGGAACTAAAGAGCCTTGATGAGGGTAAAAGAGGAGAGTTGAAAAGCTGGCTTAAAACTCAACATTCAGAAAACTAAGATCAGGGCCTCCAGTCCCATCACTTCATGACAAATAGAAGAGGAAAAGATTGAAGCAGTGACAGATTTTCTTTTCTTGGGATGTGGAAGCTACAAAATCATGGCTGGTGACAGAAGCAATGAAATGAGAAGATCATTGATTCTTGGAAGGAAAGCTATGGCAAACCCAGACAGCATATTAAAAAGCAGAGACATTATTTTGCTGATAAAAGTCCATATAGTCAAAGCTATGGTCTTTCCAGTAGTCATGTATGGATATGAGAGTTGGATCATCAAGATGGCTGAGTGCCAAAGAATCGATGATTTTGAATTGTGGTGCTGAAGAAGACTTTTGAGAGTCCCTTGGACAGTAAGGAATTCAAACCAGTCCTTCCTAAAGGAAATTAACTTAATATTCATTGGAAGGATGGATTCTGAAATTGAAGCTCCAATACTTTGGCTACTGATGCAAAGAGTTGACTCATTGGAAAAGACCCTGATGCTGGGAAAGACTGAGACAAAAGGAGAAGAGGGCAGCAGAGGATAAGATGGTTAGATAACATCACCAATTCAATGGACATAAACTTTCCAGTATAAATAAAATAATTCCAAAATTAGTAAGAACTTGAACTCAAGTTATTCATTCAAATTGAGAAAAGCCTTAATGGCATACCTGAAAGATTATTTGTTTTACATTTTTCTTGGATATTTCCAGACAAGGAAATAACTATATCATAAGGATTATTTACTTCATTGATGTATAATTTCTAATAATCAAACTTTCTGCATTGAAAATAAATCTGTCTTTCTACCAGATATGCCCATGATTCCTGAATCGTCACATGGAAGAGTGCATACAAAATTTATCTATCAGCCCTGGAAGCCTTTGAAAAATCACATTATATGTCTAGGTACAAAATTCAAATCTCTGGAATTCATCATAGCATTGAGCTTAAAAATACTGGCTTTAAAATTACAGTCTCAAAATAAAATAAAATAAAATTGCAGTCTCAGTGCAGTCAGTTTCTAGCTGTGTGATGAGTTATTTAATCTGCTTTCCAGTTTCTTTATATGGTTTTATGGTTTCTTCAGGATATTAAATGTAATAATAAATATTAAGAATTAGCATAACACTTAGAATGTGTCAGAGCTTACATGATGGCTCAGACAGTAAATTTGCCTGTCAATGCAGGAGACCCGGGTTCAATCCCTAGGTCAGGAAGACCTCCTGGAGAAGGAAATGTCAGCCTCCATTGGTAGCACTCCAGTCTTCTTGCCTAGAGAATTCCACGCACAGAGGAGCCTGGCAGGCTACAGTTCATGGGGTTGCAAAGAGTCAGACATGACTGAGCAACTGACATTTTCACTTTTCTTTAGCATGTGGCAAATGTTTACTGTGAATTTTTAACTGAACATTAGCTATTTAGTCAATCATTTTCTTTTGGAGAAAGTCTGCAGCCAACCCCTTTATTTACACTGATCACCCTCCATGAATGTATATTTGTCTTTAGGAGTATTGACCTGAAGGACAAATAATGATAGTAGATATAAAGCAAATAATAACTTATGAAGTTTCTACCTGGAAAAGTGATGTTTATTAGAGAGAACTGCATAGTTGCATGGATGTATCGATAATTTCAAAAACAGTAGACAAAGGATATCACAAGGAAAAGTTTGAAGGTGTAGAAGACAACCAAAAAAGAGATAGCATTGCGGGTGATCTAAGGTTAGAATTGGAACTTATGCTACCATGCAAATACTCTTGGAGGAACACAGCTATTTCCCACTTCAGAGCATTCCTTACTAATGATCTCACTACTATTATTTCACAGCTGGATGATGAATAAGGTCAACAAACTGATTGCTCCCTCAGAGCTATCACTCATTCCCAAATAGGGCTTCAGGGGATCTGAATCCACTTTGAAGGAAGCACTCCTGGAAGCAGGAGTGTGTACAGGTCCCAAATGCACAAACCCTAAGGGACTCAATTCTTTATAAGTAGGAGAATTAAGGTGTGTTTGGCTGGAGCACTCTGTTCTCTGCTCAGCAGCCCCAAACATGAGGTCTTGTTATAACACTGGGAAATGTGACTGCATTCTCAGGTGGAATGTGAGTGTTTCAAACTCTGCCCATGCCCGCATCTTATCATTAACTTCTGTCCCCCACACACTTGGGGCCACACAAAGGGACCTTCCTTGTCCTTGAGGCTTCTTTTTCCTGAAATGGATTTTAAAAATCAAACAATATTATAGAACCATAGGTTATCATAGTATTTGGTACTCTACTTGCTGCTATTCCTTCTTTTACTTAATATTCCAGAGTCACCTTAGGACTTAATACTTCTAAGTCCACTCGAAAATGTTAAGAGGACCAGAAGAACCAGAGCAGCATCTCCTGATAGAGTTGGCGACATTGTACTTACCAAGTCTGGAAGGATGTAACCTGAAGAGGATGTGATGTAAATCTATTTAATAATGTCATTTCATAAAACATGTATTTGGAAATAATTTTAGAATGCCAACATTGAAGAAAGGTATTTAAACACATATTTAAGAAACATAAAAATACGCTTTTCATTAGGATTTATGTTTTTCCCAGATACTTTCATAGAAATTTCATTAACTTTACTATGACACCAGGGTATCTTTGTTGTTGATGTTTTTGCTAAGGTAATTACTATTTTCATTTTGTGTATGACAAAACTATGTCTATGGAAGATATTGTATACATTATTTGAACTACTGTAGCTAATAAGTGGCAAGGCCAGAATTAATATTAAATGTTCTGATTCCTAACACAATTTTTTCCTGATTATTTTTCAGAGGGTAATGCATAGTGGGAGTTTGCTTCTCAAAGCTATTGTGAGATTTCAAAATATAAATGTGCCTGAAAAGAGTGAATCCATGAATTAAACAACTGTAAAGTGGTTTCTAACTTGACCTGAAAATGATTTGAATAGATCTCAAAACTTCTGGTCTTGTCATAAACAACCATCAGCTTCTCAAGACATTCCTTCCAAGAGATGGATAGACTGGCTGTAAAATATCCTTTTCTTAATACATGATATTTTTAATATAGAACCTGCCATTCATAGGAAAGCAGGTTGTTGCTAGTTAAAAACACAGCCAATGTGCTCATTGGCAAAAAGTTTAATTATTTGATATTGGTGTTCAGACTTCAGTGCTCCCGATCCCTTTTCAAGGTCTGACTTCATCACAGGTATGAGGAACGCCTCGGTGGTGACTGAGTTTATTCTGCTGGGCATCCCGCACACAGAGGACCTAGAGACCATGCTCTTTGTCCTGTTTCTGTCCTTCTACATCTTCACCCTTATGGGGAACCTGCTCATCCTACTGGCGATTGTCTCCTCCGCTCGGCTGCACACTCCCATGTACTTCTTCCTGTGTAAACTGTCTGTGTGTGACATATTTTTCCCCTCTGTGAGTTCCCCCAAGATGCTCTTCTACCTCTCAGGGAACAGCCGAGCCATCTCCTACGCAGGCTGCGTGTCCCAGCTCTTTTTCTACCACTTCCTGGGTTGCACGGAGTGTTTCCTGTACACGGTAATGGCCTATGACCGCTTTGTTGCCATATGTTACCCTCTGCGCTACACAATAATCATGAGTCACAGAGCGTGTGCCATCCTGGCCATGGGCACCTCGTTTTTTGGCTGTATTCAGGCCACCTTTCTAACTACGCTCACCTTCCAATTGCCCTACTGTGGCCCCAATGAGGTGGACTATTTCTTCTGTGATATCCCGGTCATGCTGAAGCTGGCTTGTGCAGACACCTCGGCCCTGGAGATGGTGGGGTTCATCAGTGTGGGTCTCATGCCCCTCAGCTGCTTCCTTCTCATCCTCACCTCCTACAGCCGCATCATCTGCTCCATCTTGCAGATCCGCTCTGCAGCCGGCCGGAAGCACGCCTTCTCCACTTGCAGCGCCCACCTCACTGCCATCCTGCTTTTCTACATGCCAGTGGTCCTCATCTACCTACGGCCAACCCCAAGCCCCTGGATGGATGCAACTGTTCAGATCCTGAATAACCTGGTCACCCCCATGCTCAACCCCCTGATCTACAGCCTCAGGAATAAGGAGGTGAAGTCCTCTCTGAGGAAGGTCCTATATCAGCTGGACTTCCTTCCTGAGCAGAGGTAGAGAAATCAGTAGCTACTACTTCAACTGCACTTCATAGTTTATGGAATATTACTGTACAGTAATATTCACAAACATCTTTGGGAGGACAGGTACTATTATGATTACATCCATTTTGTGATGTGGGCACTAAGACTGGAAGAGATAAAATGGCTTGTTAAAGACACATAGGGCTTCCAGGCAGCAGTAGTAGTAAAAACCTGCCAGTCAATACAGGAGATATAAGAGATGAGAGTTCAATCCTTGGGTCAGGAAGATCCCCTGAAGAAGGGCATGGCAACCCACTCAAATATTCTTGCCTGGAGAACCCCATGGACAGAGGAGCCTGGTGGGTTGCAGTCCATGGGGTCATAAAGAGTTGGACAAACTGAAGCGACTTAGCATGCATGCACGTATGTAAGGACACATAAAGAGTGAATGGCAGAAAGAAGACTTGAGGGCTGGCTCTCTGACCCTGGGACATGTGTGTTATCATGCTGCTGATAAGGGAAGGAGAGAGGTCACTTTTTGCTGGAAATGTGTAGCATGTGAAGAGGAATGTGGGAAGGGCAGATGGGGAGAATCCACAGAGCCGTGACTGCACTATGAAGCTGTTTCAGAAAATCTGAACTTGGTTTTGTATTCCTCAGCACAGCCAGGAGCCAATGTGACATCCTAGATGTCATCGTTTTGTACCTTTGACTTCTCTGTTTATGGAAAGCATTTGTGTTTGGTCCCCATGCCTACATTTTTTTTTGCTT